GTGGTGGCCTTGGCAGCGCTGGGTTAACGGTTGGACTCGATGATCTTAAGGGGCTTTTCCAACCTTAACGATTCTGTGATTCTGTGATTCCATATTTACAGGTGGCTGCAACGGCCGCTGTGCTCCCAGTGGGCACTGGGACCCGGCAGCGAAGCCCATTTGGCCGGGGCTGGGGCTGGGGCGGCTTCCAAGCGAGGAGCAAGAGGAGCCACACGTGCAACGGGGGCAAGCGCCGCCGGAGCGATGCCACCCCCGGGCTGCCTCGGGGTGGCACGGAGCACTCCCGGCCGCCCCCCGTGTCCCGTTTTGCAGGGCGAGGGGACGCGCCGGGGTGGCGAGCAGGGGGACAGCCCAGGGCTGCCGCAGGCGGGCCGTGACCGCTGCTCTCCAGGCAGGCGCTCAGGACCATGAAGATACGGCCGAGGAGGACCCACGTGCCCCGAGTGTCCCGGGCACGAAGCGAAGCAGCGTGGGGCGGCTCGGGGAGCCCCGCCGGCCCTGGCAGCCCCCCGGTGCGGGCTCCAGCCCTGGGGTGATGGCTTGTCTCTTTGCACATCCAAATCAGGCTGGCTCCTCTTGCAGGCAGTTAGCATGAAACATTTATGGCCTTCAGCTGCGCTGCTCGTCCGGAGCTGGCACGGCCTCTACATATTTAATTTTTTTGCCATTAAAAACGCATGAAGCGATGATCCGTTTCGCACTGTCCCTAATTCACTTCCATCTCCTCTCTCGGCGCGGAGCGCGGCGTCGGACAGGGGGGCTGCGGGAGGATTCAGAGCTGCTTCAGTCTGGCAGGGAGAGGCGTCCTCTGTCCCAGAAAAAGCAACCGAGGAGAAGGCAGCCAGCAAGGTCCTGGGGAAAGGCAGCAGGACCCGCTGCTGTAAAAGCCTGGGCCAAAGGGTTTGAGTTGGAGAGAGCATAAGCGACCCTCGGCACTGGGAAGCGGAGCAGGGTGCAGCGTGGGGACCCTCAGGGGCCCCAGGAGCAGAGCTGGAGGCCATCGCCCGCCCCTCCGGGTGCGGCGTGTGGAGCAGAGCGGCCCACGGCACACGGACGGGCTGCGGGTGCGGAGCAGGAGCCCCCCGCTGCGGGACAGCCCCTCGCCTCCCACCCGCCCAGCACAGCACCCTGGGGGGCCCCTCGCCGGCACAGCCCCTCGCCCCCGCTCCCTCGGGCCCCCAGCTTGCCCCAAGCAAAGGGAGGAGAGGGACGACAGGGCAGCCGTGCCGCTCCCCTCAGATTTGGGCACGTCACGGAGAAGGTGCTTCATCCTCCCTTCAGGGAGGGATGAGTAGAAACCCTCAGAAGGAGAGGGTTTGCTCTTGTTCAGCGGCCCATGCCCTGAGACTGGTGGTGCTGGCAGATGCTCAGGGATGCGCTGCAGGTGCAGGCAGAGCCCACAGGCCCGCAGGCAGGGAGGCAAGGCAGGAACGACCCGCGGTTGCCGTTAGCATAGGAGAAAAAATCAGATTTTTTTAAGGAAAAAAAAAATCTTAAAAAATTTTAAGGTGCCCATAAAAATGCCCTCTTTTAAGTGCAGCCTGAACTGCGAGTTCTCCAGGTAGCGGTGTCGGATGGGTGCGATGTTGCTGGGAGCATCTCTCAGCTGTTGGAGGGTGCTTCTCCTCCAACTCAGCTCTTTTGCCTGTAAGTACAAGGTCAGTTTGTAATTCTGCAAAGCACTTTGAGGTAAAAGGCAATCAATAACAACCATTTCAAAGAGGGGACAGATTGGAAACGCCGAAGCACCAGCACTGTGCCTGCAACGATCCCATTCTGTGCTCCCGCTGAGCACCTGCGCGCATGGGAGGCGCGGGGTGCTGCGGGGTGCACGTCTGCCTCGCCCTGAATTCCCCCCGGCGGCTTTGCCGGCTGGTGCTAAAGAAGTGCCGCAGAGAGGGCTGGCACAGCCCCGGCACACCCATCCCGAAAAGCCTCCCTAGGGCGCACGGGGCGGTTGCGGGAGGCCGTCACTTGGTCCCCGTGGCCCCAGTCTCTCCCTTGTCACCTGCTGCCTGGCACTTGCTGACGTGCTTCTCTGTCCAGCTCCCCCGGGACCATCCAGCGGGAAGCGGTTGCAAACCCACGGGCTGTGTTGATGTTTCCTTTGCTCAAGGACAGGCGATTGCCGCAGCAGGCGGTTCGGCAGCTCCGGCCCTCCCTCGCCCCCGCGGCACCCTCCCTGCCCCGTGACGCTGGCGAAGGGAGCGAACCCCAGAGCAGGAAAATGAAGGTTATTCTTGGGGAAAAATAAATGATTAAGTTTAATGGTCGTGTTGGTGGTTTGATGGCTATCTCATCCCACAGGGTGTTTACGTCCCCCTCCCCGGCCTCGGCGCAGAATTGGGGCAGGAAGGGGCGACGCGGGCGTGAGAGCTGCTCCACCCCTCACCCTATTTACACCAAACAACCCTGCTGTGCCGGCGGGCTGGCCCCCACCTTAAAAGTCAGGGCCGGGGGCGGGGGCAGAGGGGGGGCGGGAGGGGGGGGGGC